GTGCCTCTTGCTGCAAAACGCGTTGTAATAGTCGCTTGACGCACTGTACGAGGCGCTCCCAGCAACCGCCTGCTGANGAAGTTTTACGCCTTCTCACTTTAGCTCGCTCCCAAACGGGTGTTTGGTTGCTACCCAGAGGATACGTGGATATAAATATCCGGACGTTGTGAGCTGCGATTTGAACCGTACGCACAAGAATCGCTTCTGGCCACTCCCAGGTGAATGGCAGTCAAAAGTTTTCCACTTCTGCGCACGGAACCATCCTCCATTCAGCTCTTTCTGGGCCCCCACAAAGTTGGTCCCGTTATCACTTCTAATTCTGACGGGGACTCCTCGACGGTTTATAAAGTTACGCAGGCACAGGATAAACGCGTCAGTCGAAAGCTCACCAGCGACCTCTAAATGCACCGCTCGTGTCGTCAAGCAGGTGAACAACGCAACCCATCGCTTTTCTCGTCTTCGTCCAATTGTTACCCAAAACGGACCGCAATAGTCAACTCCGGCGTACGAAAACGGACGAACGTATGGCGTTAAGCGATCTATTGGCAACTGGCCCATAAGCGGAATCGCTAGTTTAGCTTTGTTGTAGGCGCACACCGGACACTCCCTTTTCGTTGACTTAAGCAGTGNTTAAGCGATCTATTGGCAACTGGCCCATAAGCGGAATCGCTGGTTTAGCTTTGTTGTAGGCGCACACCGGACACTCCCTTTTCGTTGACTTAAGCAGTGCGCGCGCACGCGGTACCCAAAACCTTTGTCCCATTTCATTGATGGTTAGGCAATCATTTTGATGGTGAAGTTGACAGTGATACTGCTTCATAATAAGTCGTGTAACATGATGGTTTTGAGGTAAAATAACCGGGCGTCGAGCTGTAATAGGCAGGCAGTACGCGGAATCGATTCTGCCGTTGACCTTTAGCAGACCATCGCTATCTAAGAACGGTGTCAGCTGGTATATCGCACTCGATTTCGCAAGAGGCGTTTTCCGCTTAATGGCGTTGATCTCTTCGGCAAAAGAGTCGTTCTGAACCTTTCGAAGTACGGTTTTCTCGGCGTTGGCAAGCTCTATGGCATTCAGCTCTCCACTTTGACGAGTACCAGGCATAACATTGTGNTGAACCTTTCGAAGTACGGTTTTCTCGGCGTTGGCAAGCTCTATGGCATTTAGCTCTCCACTTTGACGGGTACCAGGCATAGCATTGTAGAAAAATCGGAAAATCCAGGCCACAACTCTAGTGATTTTTAAAAAAGATGAGTAATTAATAAATTTTATAGCATACTCGCCAGAATTTGACAGCAATAAGACTCGTCCCACGCATTCTTCCGAAGCGCAATGGTCGGATGTCAGCTCTGGTATCTCCTGTGGCCAGTGCGATGTGTCTTGGTAGAGAAACCCTGGTCCCGTGAACCACCTTGATTGTGTTTCGCACTCAAAGGATGAACAGGCTCGTGTCGCCTCGTCAGCGACGTTCAGCGTTGTCGGAATCCACCGCCATTGGTCTGCAGATGTTACGCCTAATATTTCGGTTACGCGATAGGCGACAAACTGCTTGAAATTTCGGTTGGTTGAACGGATCCAGAGTATGACAGTCTTGGAATCACTCCAAAACGTAGTGTTGTCTACTCGGAAATCATGACAGCGTTCAAGCGACTCTTTAAGGCGGCAACCCAAGACTGCAGCCTGTAACTCCAAACGCGGAATCGTCATGCCTTTCATAGGCGCACACCTCGACTTAGCGCATACCAAAGTAACGTCGATTTTATTAGCCCGTCTTACGCGCAGATACGCCAC